CACTTTTAACGGTTTTAAACTTGAAGTTATTTCTTTTAAAGTACGAAGTGAAGTGTCGGCTCCTGTATCATTGGTTGAATACTTGTTAAGACAAAATATAAGGTTTTGGACAGACCGTTGTAAAAATAGTATTTTTGTTCTATTTTAGTTTGAATAAGTTTGTTTTAAAGATTTTATTTAGAACCATTAATATTGTTTAATAGTAATGTTACTTATTATTATGATTATTTATATATAGAACGATGTAACTATAGATGAAAATTATTTAATATTAAAACACTCCTGTAATTGTTATATAAACAAGATAAAATATTTTAATTTAGAAACTGAGTAAAATAAAAAAATAATATATTTTGTACATAAAGACGAGTTTACTCTTTTGGGTTAATTTAGAAAAGATAAGTTTTTAATTAGGTATGTTGTCGTAAAAATGTTTTCTTTTCCTGACTTCACCTTCATGAACCTCGTTGCTGACCGTACCGCTCTCATACGCCACAATGCCCTCCACGTGTTTCCATCACACCTCGTAGGTCACAGCCCACATGACTGATGCAGGCGCGAGTCGCCTTTGACTCCTAGCCGTTCAGACGTCACTCTAACACCAAGCTCGTTGTTACCTATAGTCCAGCCAAATTAAAATTACTTATTATCGTTAAGAAATACCTAATTACTTTTATTGTAATATTTTCATTATGTTTTTACTAAATATAAAAGTACTATATAAATAGTAATTGAGCCAACAGTAAAATGATAAAAATTGGCTTTGTATTTTTAATAAATGTTTGTTTTAATAGTTATCTTTAAGGTTTATTCGTTAGAATTTTTCAATTTACGAGAAATATGATTGTTTTTTATTAATTTATCATAGACGTTACTGTTAAAAATTGGATTAAGAAGGATTACTGTTCAAAATATATATATATATTAAAATATATATATATATATATATATATAATAAATTTTATTTATATTTGATAAACTTAAAAAAAATCTTTACAGACATAAAACAATGATCGATGCCTATTTTACGTTCTTATACTTCATTGTATTTAAGTAATTAACTTGAGCTTATAAAGACTATTATTGGTTACAACTAAAAATACGTACATTCGAACCCTAATTTCTTATAAACAAAACCTCTGTGTTTGATTTAAAACAGTCAGCATTTTTCTATGACGTAAATTGAAATTGTTATGAACTTTACAAAGATTAAATACTGTATCTAGCTTACGCGAGTAGTACACGTTTAAATAAAACACGTTAACGGTTTAAAACGCGATACATTAGTATACAAAGATTGCCAATATAAATATCAAATATATTTTTTTATTAGTGATAAATAAATAGCTTTACCATGACCTGACTATAAATAGGAGCCATCACCCGTCGCGTAGCGATGCCGACCATAATGATTCATTAAATCCCGCGTCGAGATTGCCTTTTTGTAATTGACCGATGATACGAGTCATATCATGACTCCTTCAATAAAGCACCGACGGTCTTACCCCCATTTCTTAAGATGTAACAAGTACATATTTTAATTTAACATTTAAATTATTGACATAGGAGGAAATCGAACGCATAGCCAAGGGCATGCCTACTGTGTTCTTCTACCAATTGACGTACAATGTGTGACGTACAATCTACATACATTCAAGATCTGTAAGAAATATGAATATTTCAGTTTATAACGACCGCCTCTACAGCTAAACAGTTAAACGCATTATGTTTAGCGCGAGAGATCCTGGGTTCTAATCCCAGGGAAACAAAATATTGTTTCTGTCGAACAAGGCACAGAAGTCTTATCAACTACTTGTCTGTAAGTAAAACCGATCTGGCAAACAGACACTAGGTTAAAGGAATAACGTATAGTTAAGTAAGATTTGTCATTAACGGTTTATAACGTATTATTGTTATTGCAGCAACCGTAGTCACAGGGGTATGGTGGTTTACGACCACGGCTAATCACTTATGTAAATTCGTAATAAGTTAATTAATGTACTTCACGTTTTAAACCATTAAAAGTGTACTATTCCCGTAAACTACAGACAATATTTAATGTGTTATAACATGTATCTTTTCCAACTGATTCTGACCATGTTTTAAAGAAATGCGCTCAAACAAGAAAACCATGTCACTTAACGTTCGAATGCTACAAAAATGTTTGAACACGTCTGGTTGTCACTCAAAACTACCCAAGCGATTTACCTGTCACTGTTTTAATACAGGCAAATTAAAACAGAAGTTACTCGTCCCTCTACAAGTACAGCCTGTAATAAAGTTCAGTATCGTGAACTGATTATGCAGATAACTTATAATCTTTGTACTATAGTTAACGATCATTTGAACGGACGGCGTAAATTGTCGCCTTAGGGTTGATACTTCCACCGTTTAAATTCGCACACTCTAAAATAAGCTTTATTGTAAGATATTAATAATCAAAATAGCCTGCTAGTAATCTAGTAACGGATATAGGTGGAAAATAAACCGATGTTCCAACATTGTTCCGAAATGCGATGCATGTTTGTGTCATAAGTGATTAGTGGTCGTAAAACCGTTGTTTTATGTGAATTTTGATGTTGATAATAAAATAAATTTTAATATATTCCCGTCAGAACTTTTTGCCTAACTGCTATCCGATATTTTTTCGGAATGGATTGGGTATGATTAAATTTATTAATACAAATAAAAAATAAGTAAAGTTGTTTTTAAATACGATAAATTACAAATTTATAGTTGTGAATAGTATAAAATTAACAAATCATACAAAAACCTAAAATTATAACAAAAAATAATTTACTCATATATTCCGCCTTTAAAGCATGCTGTTTGTAGTTTACGCGATCACACATTTAACATTTTGAACGGTTTAAAACTTGAAATATATTTTAACTTTAATTATTTTTGAAGGATACAAAACATCAAGCCATAGTTAAAATAAATCGTAAATAAGGTAACCAATGTAATTTGCGTTTTAAACCAAGGACTGTGTTTTATTTAATGTGTGCCACCTGCGTAACATTACTTGGATTACTTCTTCTTAATAATTAATATAATAAGAATACTGTTCTTTATATAGAATATTGTTGATCGCATTAATTCTTAATTAGCTAAATAAATAATTTTGCCAACCCTATAAAATTCATATGCACAAAAGAATATTAAACTACAGACAGGCTGAATGTAGTCTTATACAAAAAATTAAGCAGATCGCTTACATCTCAATTTTCCTTTCATAGGTGCATCCATCTTCAAAATATACCTTTTGTTTGGGAGGAAGGGCATTATCATAAATATTATTGAATTCAGCATTGTACGGGTTAAAACAGGGTTTTTGAAAGCTGCACATAATGTATTGCGACAGGTGCAACTTTTTACGCACAGCTCAATATATTCGGATGTGTAGTGGCTTTTAATAATGTAAAGTTTGTTATTTAAAAGGAAAACTTTATATAATGTTTAAAAAAAAATTACGATATTTGTGTACGAATCGTGCTAAGTTTGCATAAATCAAAAGCTTTAATAAGATTACGAGTTATTTGCTAAATAGTGTCTGTAGTTTAAGCGAGTAGTACACACTCAAATAAAACACTTTAACGGTTTAAAACGCGATATATTTTAGTCGAACTGCTTTGAAATTTTTTTTAAACTACGGCCCGTCGTCGGAAACTAAAATTTATCGCATTAAAACCGTTAAAGGGTTTTAAATAAATGAGTTATTTGCTTACAAAATAATAGGATTTTAACAATGTCTCACACATTTGCTAAGAACATTCAGTAAATTTTCTTCTGCAAAGATGTAAGCTGAAATATCTAATTCTATAAAGGACTGGCAACATATCTCCAAAACTCAATTAATGCGTATCCATGGGCGTTGAAATTCATTTTCCAATAGATTAACTGAAAATGCAGAAGGTGAAAATATCCCAATCATGACCTATTTTTGGCTTTGGGAGTTCGGAAACCCACGGAGTGAAACCAAAACGCGATTAAACTTCACAGCAGTTTTATATATTGACAGTGGTTTGTGGCCCCGGTCTTTTAATATTTCTGCGAACTTTTTTTTTTAACTAATGGTGTGAATGCCTAATGCACCAACTACGGGCAAGTGCGACGTGGGGAGTGTGGTAAATCGTATAGCCGACCAGAACCACTAAACACACCACCAGCCCACGGTGCTTAGAGGGAGCCCTGGGAAATATTTCTACGACCTATTGCAACGAGATATTTATAAAATTCCACTAAATATTACCCACGACGCTGGTCGCGTCTCTTCTCGTCGTTCTTACAAGTTAATTTTAAAAGATAGACATATAGCATCGCAGCCTTGTTTTAGATCATTTAAAGAGGAAGCATTCTTTCCTACATATTTTTGGGTATCTTGAACCGTTTTTGAAGCGTACGCCTCGGTATCCCATAATGATGAATAATTTTTTAAATTTCTTACACATTTACTTTTAACTTGTATTAGTCACAAGGAATGTTTTATAGCCAATATCCTCGATAAATGCTCTAACCCACCCGAAATTGTTCAAACAAACAAATTCTTCAGCTTTATATATTAGTATAGATTAGAACCATGTTGGTTCGTGGTTAGGCGTAAAAAGGAAACAAGGTAGACCGTGCAGGAGGTGGCATGACGAATATAAGAAAACTGCAGGCATGTTCTGGGAACGAAGCGCTACAAGCAGAACGGAGTGGAAGCGTATGGAGGAGGCTTTTACTTCAAAATGCGGACCTAACATAAACAACATTTGACAAATATGAATAAACTGTAAACGCAACGTAAAACATGTAAAATATGTTTGGTAATAAAAAAGCTTTTTATTTTATTTTATATAGATTAGAACCACGTTGGACACGGTGGAGAACAAAAACACGTCCCGTTGATTATTAGCCATACATTCCAATAGACCGACAAGTCCGTCAAACGTTTACAAGTTAATTATTTGATTGTTAGTTAAAAAAACATAATTTCGAATACTGACATAACATGAATGTTACATCATTATGGCTTTAAAATGCCGCAAAGCGAAAGATATAATTGGCCGTTCTTTTAAACAATGCTTGGTGCTACCGCCGGGGGCAGAGAACAAATGAAGCGTGCTCTCACGTACGAAACCAGTTATGAAAAGACCCACAGCCACTTCAAAGACCCTCGGCAAACCCGAAATCTCCGTGAGGGAGGGAAGGGGTAGGGTTCCAGTAGAGTTGGCTAGGTAATGCGGAAATAACATGTTGGAAAATTTCTTGTTTAGAAACAAAATTTAACGATATGTCTGTAATAAAAAAAGTTACGTTTATTCTCTTAAAAACAATACAAAGCTTCCAAGAGGTCGCGTCGAAGTTAAAATAATGTAATTAATATGTATATACTGCGGTTAAAACCGTTAAAAGAGTTTTATTTCAATTCGTGATATATATATTTTCACACATTAAACATGACATCTCCGAGGCTCAATCGTTAAACTGAAAGGGACTTCGGATTCCAGGAAAATATAATTATGTTTATAATCGAGCAAAGCAAATAGGCCTGTACGACACATATTGTCCGCCTCATGGGTTGGCAAATAACGGAATTACAATTAAATCCGTAATGTCAACGAAATATTTTTTTTATTTACCTTACAAATTATACTAATACTTTTGAGCCACTTCAAAATTCTTAGTAAGAAATCAAATATTAATAGTATAGTATTTATATATAATAGTATAGTATTTATAGTACTTAATAGTATAGTATTTGCATTAATTTTTTTTTAATATTAACCAAGGTGCAAAATAACAACACTCTCGCGTGAAGCCTCTTGTTTTTGTAAACACTTTTTCTATTTTCTACGATGAACAACAAGATTTAATCCGAAGACTTGCTAGTAACGGTCAAAGATTAAATATGATAAGATACTCCAAGTTTTAGACATCGTACAACTACAGGGTATCTAATATTTAGTTTATTTATCAAAAAACAGATATTTATAGCAAAAAGCCAATATTTAAATTAAACTTGCTAAAATAAGTGAAAACAAACATTTACTGCATGCGAATTTGTTTTATTTTATAATTTTCTTGCATTAAACCATTTTAAAGGTTTGAAAACTTTTAATATTTTTCACATGTTATTGCCCATGAAGGCACTACATAATTTAAACATCGAAATAAAATTGAAAAAGTTTTCGACTCGGGAAGGATTTGATCAATTTTGACAACACAAGTTGAAAAAAATCGACGATGAGGTGTAGGACTCGGTAGCTCAATCGGTAGAGCAACAGCACGGAACGCTGACGATGCCCGGTTCAAGTCCTGCCCGAGTCGAAATTTATTTTCGATTTTCAAATTATGATGACTTTTTTATAAAAGTAAAACGTGTAATTAATTAATCTTTGACTACTAGGTTACTTATACGCCTCCCTGAGGTCTCATACAGTATCTATTTAATCTTCCCTGCAAAATATCGCATCATGTTTATTAATGCTCCTTTTTATTGCACATCTACTTGAAGGCAATTTATTCATGGCGATACTATTTTATCACTCTAACACTGTGGGGTACGTTTTAGTTCTGTAACGGCACATGGTTTGATTAAGAACTGAGTTGATAACATGTTTTGACGGGCCCAATGGTACAATGGTAGAAATGTAGCTAACAATCAACGGTTCGTGGGTTCGTTACGCACTAATCGATTTATAATTTGTCTGAAACATGTTGACCTGCGTCTATAAATCTCGATATTAAATGGGAGGTAGGAATATCAAAATTCCGTCCGGGTTGTGAATAACGTCTACTGTTCAAAAACCGTTAAGTTTGATCTTTTGGTTTCTTGGTTTCCGAATATGCAAAGCCAAAATAGGTCGTCGACGCATCTTCTTTAGATTTTTTTATTTAACCCGCATACGCGAGCATGGTGGAGATAAAATGTGGACTAAAGTAGATGCATCAGTTCTTGTGCATCTATTCCGTCGAAGTTGGTATTTGGCGAAACTGGCCGGGTCCTTGCAGAATTTACTAACGGTGACACCGCGGAACAGATGGCGCTAGCGTAGCAACTTTTACTTTGACGTCAGAGACATCCTCCATCTTTAGTCTCCCCGTGACCACGGCTGCTGCAAAGCATCCGAAACGTGGGCCGAAGTTAAAAATCATTTTTAAATAAGTTTTATTTATAACTAATATATCGCGTTTTAAACCGTTAAAGTGCTTATCTGTCTACTCAATCATAAAAAAATGTTTAACGAGGTCGCTCGACAGACACGATGTCATAAAAATAATTAAGCTAGAAACAGATGATATATTTTTCTCGTTACAGCTTAAATATATAATATCTTTTTTATATTAAAATGACATCTACAGGAAACACTATTGGGGTGTGTAAATTTTGACGGTGATATGAGAATGCGCTGTACCTATAGTCGATTAGGATGTTCAAAAGTTAGTAGATATATTAAAGGGAAGTTGATCAGATTTCTGCGTCCTTCTATTTATATGTTCCCCGGGATCGGAACCCATGATCTACCGCGCGTTAAGGAAGAAATGTCTTCAAGAGAAAATATTACTAAAACTTCAAATTAAAATTATGTTTCATAGAATTTAATCTATTGTTCACTTGCCATTATTGTAAATACCGATTCAATGATATAACTGGCAAACCTACTTGTGCTAAGTATAGGTACATTGATGTAATAACGAACGAAACATATTGTACGCTAGTTTAGGCAACAAGATATTATATTAAACAAACATAATAAAAACATCGAAAATATGTATTACATTTTTATACATACCTATTTCTCTAAGAGAACTACTTTTCTCTCTTACTTTTTTTTTGAATGGATCTTACGTATTGAGCCCCGACGGGGCTTCGAATACTAAACGGGCGTTTGGGCGAGCGCGCTGGCGTTCGCCGTGATTTGCTGCTAGACCAACGGTGCCCCGAAAGGGTTTCTCTAACTACTTATATTTTCCTGTATGACAAAGAGCGTAGCCTTTGGTCGACGCCGTCGATAGATTTTTCACATTACTGTTAGTTTTTACAATGTAGAATCCTGTAATAGCGAGCGAAGCAGAGTATTTTGTTTCTAGAAATGTGTTTCTGTACTGGAACAGAAACAAATTTCTGTATTCCTTCCACTAATCGATTTTATTGACATACAAGTTGATATTACTTTAGTACTATCTCTACCCGAACTATTTAGTGTTTCTTTAGATTGCGAGCCTAGAACCTCCCGTGTTTAATGTCGAGCTATGTTTAACCAAACTCCTAAAGACGATAAAGTTTCTATGACTATTAAATGACCAATGTATTTGAGTATTGTCTGTAGTTAACGCGAGTTGTACAAATTTCAATCGAATACTTTTAACAGTTTAAAACGTAAACGTATTAGTTAAAATTATTTATATATTATTTTTACTACTGCCCGAAATTTTAGATGCTTTGCAGCAAGCGTGGTTTCGGGTGGACAGGTAAATTTATAAAGTTAAGTAACGCGTGTAATTGTTTTGTTTATAAATATCAGGTTCGCTAAACTTGATGACCGTGTGTATCCTTATTTATAAGGCACATTGCGTTATGATTAGCGTATTGTAGCCGACTACCGTTTGACAAGGCCGTCGTAACTGAATACTCGTAGTTCTATTGAAATCAAATGAACGAGCTTTATTTCGATGGCCACTTTTGTACTGAATTCTTAATAGCGAGATCGGTATACAATACGCTGTTAGGTAAGCCATAATTATATCTTACTTATTACAATATTATTTGAGGTCACACTTTGTGGCTGGTCGATTAAAAAGTATTCATTACTTATAATCGTCCGAATGTTGCTTCAGAGGTGATGGGAACAAAAGATGGTCGGATGATCAATCAATTTCATCACATCATCCATGTACCCATCTGTTCTACTATAATGTATTGGAGTTCCTTCCTTCTCTTGTGATATTTAATGGTAAGCAGTGCTTAAAAGATAAGATGTGAATAATTATTATTTGTGTTATTTTATATGAGGTCGACAGACAAGCATGTGGTTCACTCCTTGAATGGAAATACCATAACCTAATACCTAATACGTTGATGGTAGTTCATGACCTGGACAGAATTTCGACGTACCTACCACCCACGTATTATTCGACTTTTCTTAACGAAATTTGAAAAACTGAAGCATGAGGGATGGGTCTAGGTGGGGCGGGGGGGGAGTCAAACCATGTCATGTTGATTATTACCAAAAATAAGCAGTTGATAAGCTAGATCAATCCACAACCTGTAACTCGAAGTAACACTAAATATTTCCAGATTTCTAGTCGGCTGCTTACTTTTTAATAAAATGATTTACAAGCTGTGTCTGCGACTTCATTCGCGTAGAGTAGTTATATAGTTATCAAATTGTTCCAAACCACCATCATCTTTATAAACTTTAGCTTTTAAGATCCACTTGCGACGTTCTCGCAAGTTAATCTTAAAAAGAGAAATAATTTTTCACTATTTTTTTCGCTCGTATTGATCGCAGTATGATATTTTATATCTTAAAGCCTTCCTCAATAAATGTTCTTACCAACGGATTTTTTTTCGAAGTAGTAGTTCCTGGGATAAGCGCAATCAAACAGACAAACTCTTCAGCTTTATATATTAGAATAGATTATGGATAACGAAAAAAAGTTTAGGTATTTTTCACGACGCTCTCGGTGATTTTGAACAATTTGCTTTTATTCTCTTCTAGATAAGGTACTTAGTTATCTCGTTGTATACTAATTTTACGTACTCTCACGCAAAATACATATAATGACTATTATTGACCACATGTCAATTTGACCCTCATTCCAAGCCGGAATACGAAAATTATACAGACTCGAGTCTAGAATTACCTGGCATTTCTTGAAGCAGCCAACTGTGAGTGTACAGACAGAATGACATTACAATCTGCGAACTATTTCTTTCTCACAATATTGCAACTTAGTATAACAATTCACATCGCAACAATGTCACTATTTACAAATGCACTGGCAGTTCAGGGGGAAATTATGAAAATTATTCAGGTAGTTTGTTGTGTCATATTACTAACTAGGCAGATTGTTTGTAGAGTTAGCAACGATGACGTAATAAGTATAAGTGACAAAAATCATACATTAAAAAAAAATTAGAACTCGGGCAGGACTTGAAGCGGCATCCATAGCGCTCAATCGGTTAGAGCAACAGCACACAATGCAGAGTCGTATTTTTTTTTCAATTTATAATATTTAATTTATATAG